CCGCCTCGGGGGAACTGTGAGCGGACACCTCCGCCTCGGGGGAACTGTGAGCAGACACCGCCGCCTCGGGGGAACTGTGAGCGGACACCTCCGCCTCGGGGGAACTGTGAGCGGACACCGCCGCTTCGTGAAGGCCTGAAGCGAGCTCCGCCGCCTCGGAGAGAGTACTAGCGGCCTCCGCTGCTTCCGGAAGACCTGAAGCGAGCTCCGCCGCCTCGGAGGAAACATCAGCTGGCACCGCCGTTTCAGGGGCTTTGCGAGCAGACCACGCCGCTCGCACCAACATCAGCGGGGGTTCCTGCATTCTGCGTATCAGCCCGGGATGCTCCAGGAATGCGCGCGAGGTACTGGGTGCGGCAGACGAGGCCTCTGACGCCCCTTGGATTGCCGCTTCGGGAGAACTGTGAGTGGGCTCCGTAGTTAACTCCACCCTGAAGGCTGAGCCGCTCAAATGCAGAGCCAGGTTAATGTAGTCCTCCAGCGACTCCTCTGGGACCCAGTATGGCATCAGGGACTTGAAGGGCTCGGCCACGCCACCCCAGAAGACAACCATGAGGAAGGTCTTCTCCATCGCCGACCGATGAGCCACTCCAAAGAAGTATCTGGCGTACTCCTCAATACTCTGGTCTCCCTGATGGATGTTGAAGAGTTTCCCTGCTGGACCCATGTTTGCTGGCTGAATTCTGTCACGGAGCGGTAAGGGAGCACCGTGGAAAAACAGGGTCTGGGTTCAAATGCAGGTGAAGCTTAGATTTAATGAACAGAAAGGCAGACAAAAAGAAACAAAAACAGATCAGGATGCATCAACAAAACAGGATCAGGTGAGGGATACAAATTTGGCAACCAACGTGCTTGCATCAACCAACATACAATCTACTACAATTACAATTCAGCCAGGCAGAGTGGTGGGAGTGTGGTGTATAAATAGTCCATGACAATGAGAAACAACTGAGGGTGTAATAAGTGACAGTTGTGTGGAGTTTGGGGAATGGAGTCTGTGAGGATGGGAGATGGCGACCTCTGGTGGTGAGAGGGAGAAACGCAGGGCCCGGACTCATGACACATTCAAATGATTTTAAACTGTTCAAGTGTGATAAGAAATGCTGTTTTCAGTGCTGGGTAGTAATTGATTACATGTAATCTGGATTACGTAATCAGATTACTTAAATCAAGTACTCATAATTAGAGTATATTACATTTTATAATGCTCATAATCAGATTACAGTTACTTTATGGATTATATGATTATGGCAGTCAATTATACATAATTTATTGATTCGCCCCATTTCTTTTTTTCCCCCCTCTTTTTAAATTTTCCTCTCTAAAAATCCTACCATTTAGCTTCAACTATATTCACAAATGTCATGTAAATAAATTTGCAAACCATGCTTCTGAATTTGGAAAGTTACTATCTCTGATGAAGTTAATATATTTCAGTACAGTAATTTAATAAAATATGTGCATGTTTACAGTTCGATGTTGCTTAATGGTCACATTGACATGCAGGTAAACAAATTAAATATTTATATTTTGAGTGTTCAAGTGTTTAAATAATTTATTTTACATTTTTTATTATTTAATTATTAGCTTTTTATCAACTCACAAACCCACTGCAGTTCTTACATTAAGCCCAATTTGGGAAACCCTGCTTTCATGTAATGTTTAATGCATTTTATGTTGTTGATATAAAAAAAATGGAATATATTTTCTTTCTCCTTGCATTTTTATATCAATATGGTATGTTTAATAGTAAGTTTAAAACAAGTTTGATAAAAAAAAAAGTAATCTAAAAGAATATATTACCTAATGAGCAACCCTAGATTACGTTACTAATGACAGTTTTCGTCATGTAATCTGTAATCAGTAATGGACTACAATTTGCAAGTAATCTACCCCACTCTGTTTGCGTCTTATGACATTTAAACAGATGTATACACACAAATTAAATCTAATTAGTTCCCGTTTTGGTGAGTATCCTCATAAGCACAGCCTAAACTGCGTTAAAATTATGAATGTAAACAGCTGCACAAGAAACTAGTAAGTTGTCAGATCCGTGCATTTGGTCTTAAAGTGACAGCAGCTTTATATACCTGCTTACTTGTGCCATTAACGTTAATTAAAAACAAAAGAAAAAAATCTCTCTGCTCTTGACTGAACTTCTTTAGCTTTAATAAGGGTGAATCTATATTTAATTTACACATTATAGTATTTGTACCTGAATACTACTGATGTCTGACAGCTACCATGTCTGCAGAGACAGAAACCCCAAACTTGATAGGCCTAGAATACAATATCATGACACCAGTAATACTATTAGACCTACCTGAAAAACTTAAAAGCACTGATTACTTCATTTGTATCTTTGTTCTATTGCATTTATTTGTGCTATTGCTTGTTTTACTAATGACTGTTTACTTGTATTTAATATTATTAAAATACTAAAAATATATATTTATTTTTTTATGGTGGGGCCAGTGAAATTTTGGTAGGGCAATAATTGAACCAGTATGAAAACTCCCTAGCGTTTAGCCCTGCATATAGAGTCCCTGTCAAGACCTGCCCGTTTTGTTATAAAATAAAGTTACCAAAAAAGTTACAGGGAAAAATAAAATAATGTTTAAACTCCAACCCACCTGACATCTCAAAGCTGGAGCTGGGCCTGATGAACAGACCTTCAATGGAGGGACAGAAATCTCATTAAACTTCATTCAAATATCTTCATTTGCATTCCAGAGATGAACGAAAGTCTTATGGGTCTTATGGCTAGAAATCATCATTTACTCCCGTCATGTTGTTTCATATTACTTTCATAAATTACTCGAATTACTTCATTAGAAGACAACAGGAGATTTTTAAAAATAATCTTGCTGCTTTTTTTCTTGTGACCACCGGAGTTTAAAACCATTGACAGATAATTACAAATAGTGCAAACAGGTAAAAAGCAAGAAAGAAATCAAATTAAACTCAAGTGCATCTGCTTTAATTTAAACAATATTTACCTAGAGAGCATCCGCTAGCATTCCTATTCGTCACAACCTGACAATTTCAGTAAATAACAAATTAAAATTTCAAATGAAATGTTTTTCTAGCCCTTTTAATTAAGTGATACTGCTAGGCTTTTCCATTGCAGACAGTGAAGGAAACTCACAAACTGTGTGAGGAACTAAACATCCCTTTCCCTGAAGTCAACGTTCCCAGTGAAGAGGCAAAGAAACCGAAGGACTTCTATGTGTTCAAAAGCCAAAACGCTCCAACCGTGATTCACATCCCTCTGTTTAATGTGGTCAACTGTGGAGGCAAGTTCAGATTGTCTAGTTGAATAAAACTGAAATATTAGCTGTTCTCATTTAAGTGTGCTACTCTTTCTTCAGATAATATTGAGGCCTGGAGGAACAATTATGGGACCATTCAAGGTTCTTACAGCCGTAAGAAGATCACTGATCTTATGGACGTCGCTGGAAAAAACATCTCAAACAACAGAGAGAAACTGAAGGAGCAGATCGATGCAGTCATTGAGCAAAAAAGACAGGAATGATGACAATCTGAATACAAGTGGCACGCAGCACTCTGAAGTCCTTACTGTTTTTTTTTTTAACGTAAATTCATGTTCCAGTTACACTTAATGTCGACACATTTTTCAGGTTAAAAAAAACATTACTTGTACTATCAGAAAAAATTAACTACTAACTATATAACTAATGCTCTGTTTATTAAAATGGAAGATACATTTCAAGTTAGTGCTTTTTAAGCATTTATACATTTATCCCAAAATAGAAACTACAAGAACTATAAGAAATGTCATAGTCATGCACATTTTATTTGTTAACCGATGTTAAGCTGTTCTTTTTAATGGTCAACTTATTTTTGGACTACATACCTTTATTTCACCAAGCTGATATGATTTCTCACTAAAAACACCCACACAGATTGTTTTCTAGTCATTTCAAGTCTGAATGTGATGTGACAAAGTGACATCAAAATGAGTTGTTGGCTTACCTTTTAATCAGTCTTCTCATTAACACCATTATTTGTTCATTCAGACAGATTTGCAGATGCATAATCCAGAGCATAGATAAGATCATTTTATATCTTTTTTTTTCTAGTATTTTGGACAAACAAATTTTCAAAGTAATTATCAGATCTGAGAACTTCCATTTTAAGTCTGTTTTTACAAGCAAGTTACTTGTTTTCAAACAAGTAGCCCCGCCCAAAACCCACCCCATTGGTCGAATCAATAATGCCATTCAAGCAAAAAGACTACAATTTGGTTTGATGCAGTGGTGCAGACATTTAAAAAAGAAGAAGAAGAAAAGGTAATCAATCTAGAATAAAAACAAACAAAAAAATATTTCAGAAAAATTACAATTTGAGCAAACTGAAACGCTGTAATCTGAATCAGAGAGGGAATAACTTGAATCTGAATTTCAACCTTACAATATTACAACATGTGCTGTAGATATATGATGCTGTGATGATAATGTATTTCATATAATGCATGTATAGATGTTTTGATGATGATGAAGAGCTGTGTTATTGATTGTTTACATACTGCATCACGTGTCACGTGTGCTGTTGTGATATAAACACACCTCGCAGGCCGGGATTGTCATCTTTAGATCTGATGTTTGGTATTTTGACTCGTTTTCCGCTCAGTGTGGACAACACGAATCTCTGTCTGAAGCAGCTGCAGCCCTCAAACTCCATGATGTGAGGAGATACACGTGTTTCTGCAGCGCACTGGACCCAAAAAACGGAGCACTCACATTATGTGTTACTTATGAATGAGAGAAAGTGTAATGCCCAATTTGGCGGAATACTCCCGCCTTTAAAATAAAGGAGCCAATTGGTAATTGGTCATCGCGTCACTGCAGCTGCCATTAGAAGCTCCGGTTGCTATAGAAACAGTCAGTGTTGTGAGACGCACTTAGGACCGCACATGCGCATTTGCTGGTCTAGCCCGAAAAAGCTTTTTTTTAAAAGCCATATGATCATAAGAAACAAAATTTATTTTCAAATTGAATTTCAAATATGAAATTTAATCTAAGGTGAATAGCTTTGGAATATTTGATTTTTCCCCATTCAATTAGATGCCCGAGAGGCGTTTCAAAGATGGCCGCCGAGTGAATTTTTTAATTATGCTTCCAAATTACACACAAATAAGGTACAAACTCAATTTCGGAATTTAACAACACTTGATCAGACTTAGGTTGGCATAGAAGAAAATCTCTTTGTTTTCCAGACAAATACCACACCTAATTACCTTCTCAGCGAGGGGTGGGAGTTCAACCTCCCTAGACCATAACCAGTTCTGCACATCTCTCCAAAAGGGTTGCACCATATCACAACAAAAGAAAACATGCTCTAAATTTTCTATATTTGTTTCACAAAAAACACAATGATTCACCTAAAAATTAAATTTTAATCTTAAAAATTCATTTGGTAGGATAAATCTCATGTAATATTTTGAAGTTCACCTCCTTAGCTTTAGGAGGGAGGGGAAAAGACAGATCATTTTGTCGTATCAAAATCTTTAAGCATGTATTCCCATCTAATAGGGTTTGGGTAATAAGCATTAAAAAAAAAAAAATGTTATCACAAAAATCGCAACCTTCTAAGGAGAGCTGTCTCAATTCTGGGGAGACTTTGGAGTACAAAATGTCTTCTTTAACCATTAATCTTCCCGCAATTGGGATGGCTCTGAACATTTTATTATAAATATTAACAGTACACTGCAGTTGGAATTTCTCGCAAAACTCTCTATACAGTAGCACATTTCCATTATCATCCAAGAAACCAAGTAATGAGGTACACTCAAAGTCACACCGTAGAAAAAAATTTATTCCACCCAGTTTGTTAAAGATTGCATTGGGGACAATGAACCAAAAAGAGTGGCTATTTTGAATGAAGGATTTTAACCATTTCAACTTCAGAACACCATTCATAATCTCAAAATAGATCGCATTCACTCCACCGTCTTCATATTTTTTAATCATGTCATCCATTCTTAAGTACTGACATTTATTCTTCCAAATAAAATTAAAATTCACCTTATTTATTAATTTAATCATTTGTGTTGATATGGACAAGGCTGGGTAAATAAGTCTGGACAAACTATCCATTTTAGACAAAAGAAACCTTCGTAAGATTGTAAGAACCCTCTGCAACCATCTATTTAGTATGGATTTACATTTATCTATGTTATTCAACACATTTTTATTTTCCATTATTTCTCTATCTTTAGAAACAATAATATATATATTTATAAATATTTAACTTCCCTCTTAATTTGTATATTAAATAAAGCTGAAAAGGAAATTCATGTAATGTTAACATTTCACATTTTTCTAGGTTCAAATGTAGCCCTGAAACTAGTTGAATTTGATGTTAATTTTTTTTTTTTTTTAAGAACTAATGTTGTGTCATCAGCAAACTGACTTATAATTATTTGCCTATCCTTAAACCTTCAATACCACTATTTTTTTTATCAGTATAGATAATAGCTCTGCAACCATTATGTTATGGAAGGAGACTCACACAGAGGATTAGAAAAAATACAATATAGTTTATTTTCAACAAGGAGTGCAGATGGTTCGGGCAGGTGAGTAATAGAGCTGAATATCAGTTTTTAAGGAAGATGAGGAGAGTAACACCGTATATGGTCCTTCAGGAGATCGTGGAAGGAAGACAGAGGACTGCACACATCTCAGTTGAAGGGTACACGGAGCATTCACAGAGCTGATGACTGGAACGGACTAGGGAATGAGACACAGGAGAACACACTGGAGGAAACACAGCAGGTAAGTATAACAGGGCGGTAAGTCTTTCAATGTATCTCACGGATAGCATAGAGAGTCCACTTCGTATGAACGAGACCGGAAACTGGAGTGAAGTGAGGTGTGTGCTTTTGAAGGGTGGCTGATGATGATTGCAGATTAGTGACAGGTGCGTGTGATCAGTATTCAGGTGAAGGGGTTCGCTGTGATTGGGAGGTGGCTGAGACTGGCCGATCCGTGACAGTACCCCCCCCTCCACGGCCCGCTCCTGAGGGCCGAAAACCCAGACGTGGTGGTCTACCTCTTCCTCGGGGCCCAGGGCGATCTGGATGAGTGGAGTGAAAGGCTTCCAGCAGCGTGGGATCGAGGATGTCAGCTCTGGGAACCCATGAACGTTCTTCTGGCCCATAGCCTTCCCAGTCCACAAGATATTCTAAGAGACCACCATGGCGCCGGGAGTCCAAGATCTCGTCGACCTTGTAGATGGTACCGTCCTCCTGGATTAACGGTAGAGGGGGTTCTTCCGTCGGGCCAGGCTCTGTGGAGAGAGAAACAGGTGGATGGTGAGGTTTCAGCAGTGATACATGGAAGGTGTGGTGAATCTTATACTGTGGAGGAAGTTGGAGTTGATATGTGACCGGGTTTATCTGTTTGAGGATGGTGAAGGGGCCAACATATCTGGGACTGAGCTTCTTGCAGGGCAGGTGCATCCTGATGTCCCGCATTGACAGCCATACCTTTTGACCCGGTTGGCAAGATGGAGTTTCAGCCCTTTGAAGGTCTGTGGTAGTCTTGCCCCTGCGCACTGCCCGCTGAAGCTGATGGTGAGCTGCGTCCCAGACCCTCTCGCTCTCTCGGAACCAGTAATCGACAGAAGGGACATCCGACGGTTCCCCGTACCAGGGGAATAGGGGAGGCTGGTATCCGAGTATGCACTGGAAGGGAGTGAGTCCAGTGGATGGCTGACGGAGAGAGTTCTGCGCGTACTCGGCCCAGCCTAGGAACTGGTTCCAAGAGTTTGCACGGGAAGGGAGTGAGTCCAGTGGATGGCTGACGGAGAGAGTTCTGCGCGTACTCGGCCCAGCCTAGGAATTGGTTCCAAGAGTTCTGGTGGCGATGGCAGAAGGTTAGAAGGAAACGCCCGATTTCCTGAATTTTCCTCTCAGTCTGCCCGTTGGATTGGGGATGGCATCCTGATGAGAGGCTTATGGTCACACCTAGGAGGGAAAAGAATGCCTTCCATAATGTTCCAAAGCTGCTGGAACGAGGGGAAGTGGGTAGCGAAACTTCACAGTGCTTTTATTTAGTGCCCGGTAGTCGATGCAGGGCCTCAAACCTCCGTTCTTCTTGGCCACGAAGAAGCTGGAAGCAGCAGGGGACGTGGAAGGGCGGATGTAACCTTGCTGTAAAGCCTCTTCGATGTACTCCTCCATGGCCTTCTGTTCAGGGAGTGACAAGGGATAAATCCTTCCATGGGGCACTGGCTCACCCGGAATCAGATCTATGGCACAGTCCCATGGCCGGTGCGGAGGTAACTGGGAGGCTTTCTTCGGGCAGAATACGTCACTGAAGGGGGCATAACACGCTGGAATGTCGACTGACCGTTTATCGATCAGGCTTTCTATGGAGGTGGAGCAGAGTGTGAGGGCCTCGGAGTGCAGGGGTGACGGCTGAGGAAGATGAGGAAAACAGTCAGGAAAGCAGGTACTGCCCCACTTCAGGACCTCACCAGTTCTCCAGGAGATGGTAGGGTCGTGTTGCA